TAGAAGATGCCATGCTAGACTAATTTTTCGAAAAATCCGTTAATTGACATAAAAACGCAAAAACGATTATGCCAGAATTTGTTGCTTCCTTGTTGTTAATTTGTTCCCTTTTCAGAATTCTTGTTGCTCTTTAATTTTTTCTTTTGGAAACTATGGTGATAGAAGATGCCATGCCAGACTGATTTTTCGAAAACTCCGTTAATTGACGTAAAACCGCAAAAACGATTATGCCAGAATTTGTTGCTTCCTTGTTGTTAATTTGTTCCCTTTTTATAATTTTTGTTGCTCTTTATTTTTTTTTTTAAACTATGGTGATAGAAGATGCCATGCTAGAATAATTTTTCGAAAACTCCGTTAATTGACATAAAAACGTAAAAACGATTATGCCAGAATTTGTTGCTTTCTTGTTGTTAATTTGTTCCTCTTTTAAAATTTTTGTTACTTTTTTTTCGGAAATGATCATTATAGAAGATGTCATGCTAGACTAATTTATCGAAAACTCCGTTAATTGACATAAAAACGCAAAACCGATTATGCCAGAATTTGTTGCTTTCTTGTTGTTAATTTGTTCCTCTTTTAAAATTTTTGTTACTTTTTTTTCGGAAATGATCATTATAGAAGATGTCATGCTAGACTAATTTCTCGAAAACTCCGTTAATTGACATAAAAACGCAAAAACGATTATGCCAGAATTTGTTGCTTCCTTGTTGTTAATTTGTTCCTCTTTTAAAATTTTTGTTACTTTTTTTTCGGAAATGATCATTATAGACGATGTCATGCTAGACTAATTTTTCGAAAAAACCGTTAAATTACATAAAAAACGCAAAAACGATTATGCCAGAATATGTTGCTTTCTTGTTGTTAATTTGTTCCTCTTTTAAAATTTTTGTCACTTGTTTTTCGGAAATGATCATTATAGAAGATGTCATGCTAGACTAATTTTTCGAAAACTCCGTTAATTGACATAAAAACGCAAAAACGATTATGCCAGAATTTGTTGCTTTCTTGTTGTTAATTTGTTCCTCTTTTAAAATTTTTGTTACTTTTTTTTCGGAAATGATCATTATAGACGATGTCATGCTAGACTAATTTTTCGAAAACTCCGTTAATTGACATAAAAACGCAAAACCGATTATGCCAGAATTGGTTGCTTTCTTGTTGTTAATTTGTTCCTCTTTTAAAATTTTTGTTACTTTTTTTTCGGAAATGATCATTATAGACGATGTCATGCTAGACTAATTTTTCGAAAACTCCGTTAATTGACATAAAAACGCAAAACCGATTATGCCAGAATTTGTTGCTTCCTTGTTGTTAATTTGTTCGCTTTTCAGAATTTTTGTTGCTCTTTAATTTTTTTTTTGGAAACTATGGTGATAGAAGATGCCATGCCAGACTGATTTTTCGAAAACTCCGTTAATTGACGTAAAACCGCAAAAACGATTATGCCAGAATTTGTTGCTTCCTTGTTGTTAATTTGTTCCTTTTTCAGAATTTTTGTTGCTCTTTAATTTTTTTTCTTTTGGAAACTATGGTGATAGAAGATGCCATGCCAGACTGATTTTTCGAAAACTCCGTTAATTGACGTAAAACCGCAAAAACGATTATGCCAGAATTTGTTGCTTCCTTGTTGTTAATTTGTTCCCTTTTCAGAATTTTTGTTGCTCTTTAATTTTTTTTTGGAAACTATGGTGATAGAAGATGCCATGCTAGACTAATTTTCCGAAAACTCCGTTAAATGACATTTGTTGCTTCCTTGTTGTTATTTTGTTCCCTTTTTATAATTTTTGTTGCTCTTTATTTTTTTTGGAAACTATGGTGATAGAAGATCCCATGCTAGACTAATTTTTCGAAAACTCCGTTAATTGACATAAAAACGCAAAACCGATTATGCCAGAATTTGTTGCTTTCTTGTTGTTAATTTGTTCCTCTTTTGAAATTTTTGTTACTTTTTTTTCGGAAATGATCATTATAGAAGATGTCATGCTAGACTAATTTTTCGAAAACTCCGTTAAATGACATAAAAACGCAAAACCGATCATGCCAGAATTTGTTGCTTCCTTGTTGTTAATTTGTTCCCTTTTTAGAATTTTTGTTGCTCTTTATTTTTTTTGGAAACTATGGTGATAGAAGATGCCATGCTAGACTAATTTTTCGAAAACTCCGTTAATTGACATAAAAACGCAAAACCGATTATGCCAGAATTTGTTGCTTTCTTGTTGTTAATTTGTTCCTCTTTTGAAATTTTTGTTACTTTTTTTTCGGAAATGATCATTATAGACGATGTCATGCTAGACTAATTTTTCGAAAAAACCGTTAAATTACATAAAAAACGCAAAAACGATTATGCCAGAATATGTTGCTTTCTTGTTGTTAATTTGTTCCTCTTTTAAAATTTTTGTCACTTGTTTTTCGGAAATGATCATTATAGAAGATGTCATGCTAGACTAATTTCTCGAAAACTCCGTTAATTGACATAAAAACGCAAAAACGATTATGTCAGAATTTGTTGCTTCCTTGTTGTTAATTTGTTCCCTTTTCAGAATTTTTGTTGCTCTTCATTTTTTTCGTGGAAACTATGGTGATAGAAGATGCCATGCTAGACTGATTTTTCGAAAATTCCGTTAATTGACGTAAAACCGCAAAAACGATTATGCCAGAATTTGTCGCTTTCTTGTTGTTAATTTGTTCCCTTTTCAGAATTTTTGTTGCTCTTTATTTTTTTTTTGTGGAAACTATGGTGATAGAAGATGCCATGCTAGACTAATTTTTCGAAAACTCCGTTAATTGACATAAAACCGCAAAAACGATTATGCCAGAATTTGTTGCTTCCTTGTTGTTAATTTGTTCCTTTTTCAGAATTTTTGTTGCTCTTTAATTTTTTTTTGGAAACTATGGTGATAGAAGATGCCATGCTAGACTAATTTTTCGAAAACTCCGTTAATTGACATAAAAACGCAAAACCGATTATGCCAGAATTTGTTGCTTTCTTGTTGTTAATTTGTTCCTCTTTTAAAATTTTTGTTACTTTTTTTTTTCGGAAATGATCATTATAGAAGATGTCATGCTAGACAAATTTTTCGAAAACTCCGTTAATTGACATAAAAACGCAAAACCGATTATGCCAGAATTTGTTGCTTTCTTGTTGTTAATTTGTTCCTCTTTTAAAATTTTTGTTACTTTTTTTTCGGAAATAATCATTATAGAAGATGCCATGCTAGACTAATTTTACGAAAACTCCGTTAATTGACATAAAAACGCAAAAACGATTATGCCAGAATTTGTTGCTTCCTTGTTGTTGATTTGTTCCTTTTTCAGAATTTTTGTCGCGCTTTATTTTTTTTTTTTGAAACTATGGTGATAGAAGATGCCATGCTAGACTGATTTTTCGAAAACTCCGTTAATTGACGTAAAACCGCAAAAACGATTATGCCAGAATTTGTTGCTTTCTTGTTGTTAATTTGTTCCCTTTTCAGAATTTTTGTTGCTCTTTATTTTTTTTTGTGGAAACTATGGTGATAGAAGATGCCATGCTAGACAAATTTTTCGAAAATTCCGTTAATTGACATAAAAACGCAAAAACGATTATGCCAGAATTTGTTGCTTTCTTGTTGTTAATTTGTTCCTCTTTTAAAATTTTTGTCACTTTTTTTTTCGGAAATGATCATTATAGAAGATGTCATGCTAGACTAATTTCTCGAAAACTCCGTTAATTGACATAAAAACGCAAAAACGATTATGCCAGAATTTGTTGCTTTCTTGTTGTTAATTTGTTCCCTTTTCAGAATTTTTGTTGCTCTTTATTTTTTTTTGTGGAAACTATGGTGATAGAAGATGCCATGCTAGACAAATTTTTCGAAAATTCCGTTAATTGACATAAAAACGCAAAAACGATTATGCCAGAATTTGTTGCTTTCTTGTTGTTAATTTGTTTCTCTTTTAAAATTTTTGTCACTTTTTTTTTCGGAAATGATCATTATAGAAGATGTCATGCTAGACTAATTTCTCGAAAACTCCGTTAATTGACATAAAAACGCAAAAACGATTATGCCAGAATTTGTTGCTTTCTTGTTGTTAATTTGTTCCCTTTTCAGAATTTTTGTTGCTCTTTATTTTTTTTTGTGGAAACTATGGTGATAGAAGATGCCATGCTAGACAAATTTTTCGAAAATTCCGTTAATTGACATAAAAACGCAAAAACGATTATGCCAGAATTTGTTGCTTTCTTGTTGTTAATTTGTTCCTCTTTTAAAATTTTTGTCACTTTTTTTTTCGGAAATGATCATTATAGAAGATTAATGCTAGACTAATTTCTCGAAAACTCCGTTAATTGACATAAAAACGCAAAAACGATTATGCCAGAATTTGTTGCTTCCTTGTTGTTAATTTGTTCCCTTTTCAGAATTTCTGTTGCTCTTCATTTTTTTTGTGGAAACTATGGTGATAGAAGATGCCATGCTAGACTAATTTTTCGAAAACTCCGTTAATTGACGTAAAACCGCAAAAACGATTATGCCAGAATTTGTTGCTTTCTTGTTGTTAATTTGTTCCTCTTTTAAAATTTTTGTTACTTTTTTTTTCGGAAATGATCATTATAGAAGATGTCATGCTAGACTTATTTTTCGAAAACTCCGTTAAATGACATAAAAACGCAAAACCGATCATGCCAGAATTTGTTGCCTCCTTTTTATTAATTTGTTACCTTTTTAGAATTTTTGATGCTCTTTATTTTTTTTTTCTGAAACTATGGTGATAGAAGATGCCTTGCTAGACTAATTTTTCGAAAACTCCGTTTACTGACATAAAAACTCTTTAACGATCATACCAGAATTTGTTGCTTTCTTGTTGTTAATTTGTTCCCCTTTTAGAATTGTCGCTGTTCGTTTGTTTTCTCGAGACTGTTCATCATAGATGCCAATTTCAATTCAATTTCGTTCGAAAACAAAAACGAGCCCTGATAATTAGAAAAAAAGGTACAAAAGCAGAGTGAGAGGTTTCAGGAATTATATTTTATTTCTAACAAATACCAGGAGAACTGGTTGCACATATACATTGGATTTTTTATTCCTTTCATTCTTCTTCAGATCATCATACTCCACCCACTGATAACCCCCTCGAAGGCAGTAGGCTGTTGAATGGCCGATTCCTTGATTTTCTGAAGACCTTCTCTTGGGTGGAGGTGGAGTATAGTTCACAAGTCCTACCAGCTGGTACTGCTCCTTATCGTTCAAGGGATTCTTGAAGTAAACTGGTATATCCGTTAACTTCATAACCTGGCATTCCTGGTAGCCCAACTCGAATAGAACTATCTCACCTATAAATTATAGATATACACCATATATCCCAGCTAAAATGTCCCCTCCTGTGAAAAGTCAACCGCGCGATCAAATGACTTGAAATTTGGTCACCCACCCAGTTTATTTCATGATGGTCACTCGAAATATGCTATTGAATGAATCATAGGTATTCAGGGTCACACCGAAGTGCACCTAAACTTTCCTATTTGAATAGGGACACCCAGTATATTGTTCTATGTTCAAGTAGAGTACATTATTACAAATTCAACAATGCCGGGTTTGACATGATTTTTTAAAAAACGACTACGAAGATATGGCAAAAAAAACGGTTCAATAAAAAATTTATATGATTAGATTTTATTAATATTATACGATTGAAGTCGAATGAAAAGCAAATAATAAAATCCTCAACTGCTCAATATGTCGTCCATTCTGCTGCAAACATTTCCTAGCTCTTTTGATAACGTTCATTGTGAACCTATGTATCACGTTGCGATCAATTTGTGCGCATAAATTTGTGATTTCCTCTTTCATTTCTTCCATATTCACAATTGGCGACTCATAAACCTGTTGTTTCAAGTAGCCTCAAGAATAAAAATCAAGTGGGGTGAGGTCTAGCGACCGAGCTGGCCAGTTGTTATCACCATCGAGACAATTGGTGGTTATTAGATTTTCTCCAAACCGATGGCGAAGATAATCCTTTACGGGTCTGTAGTTATGCGCAGGACACCCATCATTCGATTTCAATTGTGTTATATCAATAAAATCGTTTTATTTTTTGTCACATCTTCGTAGTCGTTTGAAAAAATCCCATCAAACCCGGCATTGTTGAATTTGTAATAATGAACTCTACTTGAAAATGGAATAATATACTGGGCGTCCCTATTCAAATAAGAAAGATGAGGTGCGCTTCGGTGTGACCCTGTATACCGACGATTTATTCAATAGCATATTTCGAGTCAGCATCATCAAATGTACTGGGTGAACAAATTTCAAGTCATTCCATCGCGCGGTTGATTTTTCACAGGGGGACATTTCAGCTGGAACACGGTGTATAATTGAAACACGTTGATAACTAATATCGAATAGATCAATTGCATTTTCGAATAAAAACTCGAATAAAAATGAAATATTGTCGTTTTTTTTAAATTCTGGATTCGAACACCCTTACATTCAATCTCTTACCAATGAAAGATATTTGCGATGAAGTAGACCCATGACAGTTTTCATTCGCACATATAGTGTTGTCAGAGAACTTTAATATATCTTGGATTTCCAACCCATTATTTTTCATTTCCTGGAAATCGATATACGGACAAACCAATGTATTTATTCTAACTTCACAGTTATTGGAACATCGGATGGTTTCTCGAAAACTTGGAGTATCTCTAAAAATTGGATTAATTATTTCCACCACACTGCTCTCACAGTTAATCAGTAGTGATCCATCGGGTTGGTCTTTTCCACCAAATATGCTGTGTAGCATAGCTCCTCTTTTTTTATATGAACATGCTCGTAGGCCATTTTCGAGTACATCCAATGCCATTGCTAATAGTGGATTATCAACAGTTATCTCACTTATCTAAAACAACACATGTTTAGAAACATTAATATTCCAAACAATCAAATATACCGGGTGACCCGAAACCATTGTTTGCCCCTGGATCCTTTCTTCATATTTTGTTCAGAGTATTAGAATAATAGTTCAGAACTTTCAAAATGAACAAATCTGTCAACACTTCAACACCAACCAGTTACATTGATTCATCATATCAAAAAGCTAATTGTTCCATCTTTCATATCACACTATTCATGGAATAGCTCTGTGACGAGGGCAATGATTCAGAGTGTTAGAATTCCAGAAAATCTGGAAGTCATCGGTAGTTTGTGAATTAAAAGTATGATTGTGATTCATCATTGAAGAGGTAATTTTATACTAAACGGTAATATTTTGAAAAACATGTTCTGTCTATTTGAAAAAATTAGTATACTTCTGGTTAAACCGGAAGTGTCATATTCAATCTGACACTCGATAAACTGAACATCCGTAACATCAAACCGATATACCAAATTTGAAGTATTTGAACAAAATATTAGGGAAGATACAGAGGGAGAGGTAGATACATTGGTTCGGGCCAACCGCTGTTATCAAAATCATTTATACCGATTCTTGAAGATTTTTTCTATCGCAAAGAGCTGCCAGTATTATTTGATAAATGCTGTCGAATGTACACGTGAATATCACGTACACATTCCTACCTCCTAATACAATTGGACTCAAAGCAAGGTTGCTACCATTCTTGATAACGAGCAATTTCCTGTTGGCGTCGCTTGTCAACTGCTCGTTCAAATTGTAATTATTCTTCTGCAAATATTTTGCAGCTCTTCTGGGATTGGAGGATTTAGCCAAACCCCTCCAATTCTCCTCTTCTCTAGAGGCCAAGATAACAGAAGTCCCACCTACATTATTGCATTCGAGGCAAATTCTCTTTTGGCCATAACCTTCCCCACTGCCTTTATAGGGGATAGAACAACTATCCAACGCATGAATTTGTTTCAAACACACTACACACTTATGTGCCCCAGAGGGTTTGTCCTCATTCTGACAAGCAGGGCACAAAGAATTTGAGGCTTCCACTGCTATTTCTTCTCTGTCCACCGAAATGGCGTCAGACGCATGCGTTGCACTTGTACAGTAGATGTTAGTTACTGACTCGGTAACTGATGAATGTTCACGACTGAGTTCCTCTATCGCATTATCGTCGTTGTCCATTTTCGATTGAATTATTTTCATACGACCACTGAGATAATCTACATGTCTATTGACGAATACGTCAGCACGTAGAGAACCAGTTACACCCGACAACAAATGTGTTTTAATTTTGTTGAATTCTCCTTCAACAGAGGCGCTAGATGCTGGTATACGACCATAACCAAACTGATTTTGAACCACACAAGACCACATTGGGAAGTAATAAAGATCATTCATTAGCTTCTTTGATAGTGCTGGGAAAAAGTGTGCATTCTCTCTGTCACCAATTTCTGCTCTCGCAGTTTGAACCCTCTTGTCGATGACTTCTCCCCATTGACACCAAATATTACTGTTGCCATCATTCACAGTAAAATCTTCATCTTGTGGCAAATTTTCAGAAATGAATTCAGAATCTGCAGCTTGGTCAATCTCCTGGAATAGCAAAATTTATTTTACATCAATAATAGTAGACTTATCAGATAAAAATATGTAGAAAGTAATTCCAAATGACAAATTCCATTACAATGAATCTAAGTATAACTGTTGAGATCGCATTAAAACCATCACGACGAGCTAGATGACAATAACAATCGATGATACGCATGACATGACAACTGACATTTCACTACGAATTCCGAAAGGAATTCTGTAAAATAATATTCAATTTTGAACTTACTTCTGAGCTTGTAATGATTTCTTTCAAGAAATATTTTGCTGCCTCTGATTTGCAAGGTTCTCCAGATGGTAAGTATCCCTCAGTCTCACATTGAGATACCAGCAAGATGGATCCCAAGATCTTCTCAGCCTCCTTCAATGATTTAGACAGGATGAGTTGGCCTATGGATCCTAAATAGAAAACTCGGACGCGCCTAGGCAAGTCCTTCACCAAAGATGCGTATATTTTGATAAAATGAGCCACATCTATCCGGATGTAACATGCAGATGGTTTATGCCATAAACTATCTGCATATTCTCCGATTGATTTGCAGTTGGTGAAGGCTCGAATAGTTGCTGATAAAAGAGCCCTAGAAGCATCAGTCACTACTTCTTTCGGGATAGGTGCACCAGAACGTGTCCATTCAGTGAGCCAATAATTGATTGCGTTCGTGTTGTGAACCTCACTCAACATCTGGCACACTGAAAATTGTCCACTTGGAAGCCGGATGATTGAATGATAGAGAAAGATATTTCCTGTTTTTGAACCATCCGCTTTCTTTATTTTTCTCACTACTCCTCCTGTGGCATCAATGTACAAACAACTCGTGAATTTTGAGCAATATTTTTTGTATATACTCGTTTGATGGCTTGTCCAGTAATGAACATAAAAGGGATCCAGGCCAATATTTTGGATGATGTTGGCCCCTGTTGTTTGTTTCGAGAGAAATATAGATTTCACTGGATCTTTATCAAGATATTGGCTAGATATATACTCCGATTTCGCTTTTCTCAGTACAGGAGATGAGTATAGATTTGGTGGTTCCGCATCTCCCGGACACATTTCCTTGTTAGCCCTTTGGGCTCTATATATATGAGCTGACTTCTCTTCGATGGCTCTTGCTATCTTATGTCGTGTCTTGCCACGTAGCCAACGTTTCCCGCATTTACTGTCGCCCTTCGAAATATTGCACGTAACTTCAACTTCTGGCCCTGAGTTGTCTATGGATGCACGAAGCTTTCCTCCACAGTTGCAGTTGGCTAAGCCGAATTAAAACACAATCAAAATTCCCTCGTACTGACGAATCAAAGTGAAACAATGATACTAAAATATTATATTCACCGAGGTGAGAAGAGATTCATTCCTGATGTGGCGAGATTAGTTAGTTAACCGAGACGCAAATCGTCGAGGTTAGCAATGATCTCGAGACAGGAATGAAACTTTCTACCGAGGTTTGTATACTATTTTATTTAATAATGCTCATTGGAGGTTGGGAAGTGTCACATTACACACCTCTACTTCCCGCCCTCACTTCTCGTCCCTCACTACTTCCCGCCCTCACTCATGTAATAATTCAGGTATGTTCAGAACGAAACATTGATTTGTTAATTTTGATCGAAATATGATAGTTGTAAATAAAATAGTATACAAACCTCGGTAGGGAGTTTCATTCCTGTCTCGAGATTATAGCTAACCTCGACGCTTTGCGTCTCGGTTAACTAACTATAATCTCATGACAGGAATGAATCACTTCCCACCTCGGTTTGTAATATAGTATTATTTGCAACCATCATATTTTGATCAAAATTAATAAATCAATGTTTCGTTCTGAACATACCAAAAATATTACATTTAACGACAAATTACCAAAAGTTCGAAATATGATTCTCTTGAATAGCCCAAAAGATGGAGTTTTAATATTGTCTTTGGAACGGAACTATTGTAGGTATGTATATCCATACTATACTGTTTATGTCTCGGTTCATGTTGAATTAAAAAATGAAGTGAGGGCGGAAAGTGACGGCGAAAAGTAGAGGTATGTAATGTGACACTTCCCAACCTTCAATGACGTTAGTAACGACAACATTACATATATGGTTTTGAATAAAATAGTTTATTTTGAAACGATTATCAACGGGATGACTTTTGAAACTAGTAGTGAATTCCAAAGAGTTTTGTATGTTCATACCTATGTGACTTGATTTCAGTTTCCTTAACTTCTCTCCTTACAAAATTTTTACCTGCTTCTACATATTTGAATAAAAACTCCTCCAGTCAAAAGTTGAATCTGTATCCGTTATACTATTCCTAGTATATCTTGTGTTTGACTTGAAATGATTTTCACCATTTTTAAAAAATTGGATAGAATGTGAGTTAGAACATACATTCAACTCGATTGGACCTTTTCGGTTTTCCTTTTTTTTTTGAAGCTACTTACTGATACTTGCAGCTAATGCATAATATCTCAAGGTAGACGTTTTCATTGAGTTTTTCATTGCATATACAAGAAGGAGAGATCGATAATCAAGACAATATTGCAAAAGCTGGGAATTTCACCAGGCGTATTCTAACACAAGAATCGAGTGTCATAAGTATGCTTCGATAAACAATGAGCAATAAGAGTGTTATTGAAATATTCTAACACTAAAGAGGTTGTGAAATTCTAGTTAAAAGACAATGTCTTAATAATTCAGCGTAAATCGGGCAACACTGGAGCCATATGCCAGTCACAGGTGGCAGTTGCCACCAATAAACCATCTGATTGGTTCACGATGAAACAACCTATTACTCATAATAGGAATATTCAATTTAGCAATTCATTACCTATTTATTGTGATGATTTTCTTAATTTTCTTGAGGAAATAATTTTGAAATTCAAAATGTTTAGAATGTGAAACTCATTTGAAATCTATCATGTTTCACTATGGAATATGGAAAAAAATCAATAAGCAGTTTAAAACAGATACCAATAGAACGACATTTTTCATGGGGTTATGAATTATTTTTTCTACAAACGTCAAAAAATGACAAGGTTCGCGCATTGTTATCAATATGCGAAGTAACACCTTTTTTCAGATACCTACCTACGTTACCATGATGATACCTCCTGCGAAACAATGCGCGAAGTAAAACAGTGCGCAAAGTACGTACTGCATTTAAACTATATGGGATTATTATTATTATTATTTTGACCTTTATGGTCCTCAATCGAGCAAAAATCCAAGAAATCATTTATTTCTGAATGTTTAACAATAATTAAGGGCTTCTAAGCCAGTTCAACACTATTATTTATATCAAGCGGAGCATAGGTGTTAGTACTTCAGAACTATATTTTTTTCGTTTGTAGAAAAATGTTGTTTGCAACTCGTGCGCGAAATATTTTGGTCACCTCGCCTAGTTTATGCGCCTCGTTAAAAAATCAGTTACCGGTCACCAAAGTAGCATTTCGCGCACTAGATACAAAAATAAATATCTAAAGGGTTCTGGTATCTCTTACCCACCATTTATTATCCCTGATTTAGTATCCATCGAGATATAATGGTTCACGAAGTTGTACCCACAAGTTACGGGTGTCTGACGAACCAACTTTTCTGTGATCATGTCTTCCCATAAACCAGGCATCAAAGTCTTATGAATTCTTGAAACATTTTTTTTAGTGCTACGGTTATATTTCTTGTATTTTTTTTCCATTATCAATGATTCGAATTCTTGCCTAGGTATATGTAAAACGTATTTTCTAACCTCTCCTGTATCTATATCTGATTCCATTGACTGATTGTTGACATTATTTGCCATTTCGCTACTGCTACTGATATTTGAACTATTACCAGTGGAATGTATGTGGTCAAAATTGGATTCATCATGCGCCCTTTCCGAAGAAATCATGTTATCTCTAACTTGAAACCGATTGCAGGTTACAATAACATATAGTGAGCTGGGCGCTATAGCATTTCCAAGCTCCTTGGAGATTTCAGTCCATATTTCGTTTGACTTACTGATTACATTTTTATTGGGTAATATCAAATCTTCTGATCTTTTCATTAAAGAGTCTATAATGCGTTGTTTGTCCATAAATGGACGTCTTCCTCTCCTACAACTACTCATTTTAATTTTATTCTACTCAATACTCAATAAATCACACAGAACACACTGCACATCCGAATAATCCACATGTGTCTACGATTCTGAATTGTGTTTTCTGGAAATAAATGAGACCTTTTCATATTTGTCGATTTTATTGGTTACTGGGCGGGCTTTTACACCAATGAGATTTAGGTAACATCACCCCACGCACCCCGTTGGATAAGTAGCGCGTGCCAAAAGTGCCGCCACCGTCAATCGCCTGCTGCTTTATCTTAATGGTATGCTAATTGGGTTGAATCCATAGGCAAAAACAGCAAAAATGACTTTTTTTATGATCGGCCAGCGGCCTTGAATCAAAGGAGAGTGGTTTAGGGAATACTCTATAAAATCCCTTTGATGTTAAGCAATCAAAGCCGCCTCATTAGCGTCGGCGACAAAAATTCGGTTTATTACCAGGGGCAATGGGAACCCGACAACGTGCGTTCCGCTAGTAGAATTTTACCAGGGTTCTTCCAAATGTTTGATTGCTGATAGTTCTACTCGAATTCAACTTGAATGATAATTATTGAATTATCGTTGTTCAATATATTGAGGAGGATGCTTGAATAAAATTATCATAAGTTTATAAATAATAGTATATGATATATTTATTTACTATAATGATGGAAAAATTATAAATATTTGTCATCCAATATTTGTAGTGCCATTCGCATCAGTTTGTATGAATCCAAAATAAGTCTAGCATGGCATCTTCTATCACCATAGTTTCCAAAAAAAAAAAATGAAGAGCAACAAAAATTCTGGAAAGGGAACAAATTAACAACAAGGAAGCAACAAATTCTGACATGATCGTTTTCGCGTTTTTATGTCATTTAAGGGAGTTTTCGAAAAATTAGTCTAGGATGGCATCTTCTATCACCATAGTTTCAGAAAGAAAATAAAGAGCAATAAAAAATCTAGATGTGAAACAAATTAACAACAAGAAAGCAACAAATTCTGACACGTTCTGACATGATCGTTCTTGCATTTTTATGGCATTTAACGGAGTTTTCGAAAAATTAGTGTAGCATGGCATCTTCATCACCATAGTTTCCCAAAAAAAAAATGAAGAGCAACAAAAATTCTAAAAAGGGAACAAATTAACAACAAGGAAGCAACAAATTCTGACACGTTCTGACATGATCGTTCTTGCATTTTTATGGCATTTAACGGAGTTTTCGAAAAATTAGTGTAGCATGGCATCTTCTATCACCAGTTTCCAAAAAAAAATGAAGAGCAACGAAAATTCTAAAAAGGGAACAAATTAACAACAAGGAAGCAACAAATTCTGGCATGATCGTTTTCGCGTTTTTATGTCATTTAACGGAGTTTTCGAAAAATCAGTGTAGCATGGCATCTTCATCACCATAGTTTTAGAAAAAAAAAATAAAGAGCAATACAAATTCTGATAAGGGAACAAATTAACAACAAGAAAGCAACATTTTCTGGCATGATCGTTTTTGCGTTTTTATGTCATTTGACGGAGTTTTCGAAAAATTAGTCTAGCATGACATCTTCTATAATGATCATTTCCGAAAAAAAAAGTAACAAAAATTTTAAAAGAGGAACAAATTAACAACAAGAAAGCAACAAATTCTGGTATAATCGTTTTTGCGTTTTTATGTCAATTAACGGAGTTTTAGAAAAATTAGTCTAGCATGACATCTTCTATAATGATCATTTCCGAAAAAAAAAGTAACAAAAATTTTAAAAGAGGAACAAATTAACAACAAGGAAGCAACAAATTCTGGCATGATCGGTTTTGCGTTTTTATGTCATTTAACGGAGTTTTCTAAAAATAAGTCTAGCATGGCATTCCTATCACCATAATTTCAGAAAAAAAATGAAGAGCAACAAAAATTCTAGATGGGGAACAAATTAACAACAAAGAAGCAACAAATTCTGACATGTTCGTTCTTGCGTTTTTATGTCATTTAACGGAGTTTTCGAAAAATTAGTCTAGCATGACATCTTCTATCATGATCATTTCCTAAAAAAAAGTAACAAAAATTTTAAAAGAGGAACAAATTAACAACAAGAAAGCAACAAATTCTGGCATGATCGTTTTTGCGTTTTTATGTAATTTAACGGAGTTTTCGAAAAATTAGTGTAGCATGGCATCATCTATCATCATAGT